ACCCACTTAACAAAGATGTCACGCTAAGGCAGATGGACGTCAGCATTGCTAGTATAAGGGCGTGACTCCTACTAGTATAGGAACCCCTTAACCGATCGAAAAGGTGTTAATCTACTCAGCAAAGATATCACGTAAGGCAGATGGACGTGAGCATTGCTAGTATGGGGGCATGACCACTGCTGGTATAGGAACACATTAACCGATCGAAAAGGCATTAACCTACCCAACAATGACATCACCGAAAGATAAATGAAGGTGACCACCGCCGCTAGGATACCAAGATCACAAATAAATAAGTGATTGGCCAAAGCAAGAGTGACGCCACTGTAAAGAATGATTGCAAGACCCAACTACTAAATTTTGGATCGGTCTATAGACTCTATCACAAATTCTAAGTGTTGGTCTTTATGTAGAGCAACTTCATCAAATGGGGGCATCATATTTGCAATCAAATAATAATGGGCATGGTCAGGTTTTACAAAAAAAATAAAAAAATAAAAATAAAAATTCCGGAGAGAGACTTTCAATTGAAAAGGAAGTTTGATAAAAAAATTTCAATTTAAAAAAAGTTTGATTAAAAGTAAATAAAAAAATAAAGAATTGAATATATATTATATACACAACGACACTTCACGAACCTAGCTCGAACTCGGTCCCCGGCTCGACCTGTACACAAGTGTGGACCTGCACAAGAGGGTAAACACTCCGACGCTCAAGTCAGTATGGGTTGGATTTCGTATTTAGTTCGAGGTGAGATTCGATACCTGAGCGTGAAATGAGGCCCTCTATTTATAGGTGTGGGATCCGACAGTACACACGACCGGCGGTTACATGTTTTTTTCCTCATGTCGGACCTGTCGGGTTCTGAGTAGATTGAACCCCAATCAGATCGAATTTCGGCATGTATACTTAGCATGTTCCCTAATGGGTGAACCCGACCTCTTCGGCAAGTTCGAGGTGGACCTGAGATATTTAATCCTTATAACACCAGTCAGCGTCCTCCACGTGTCCAAGGTATTTTTATCCCCAAACAAAGTTCGAGAGAAAGAATCAGAGGATAAAGATTAGAGATTGAATTCACTATACAATACATACAAACAATATAAAAATTCACCTCCACGAAATATAATTTCTCCGGAAATTTCATGTGAACAGTGAGTTCGACCAAAAATGGGTGTGAGCTCGTGAGGAATGACAGGGCACCAATTAGAGAGATTTAAAAAAAATTTGGTTAAAGGGAAATTTGGAGAGATGGAAAGATATGGTAAATTTTCAGGCATTTTCTTCTCTCTGTGTTTTGTGGCGTTCCTTCTAACTTTCTCTCCCTAACCTCTTAGAACAAGATTTTGGGAAGAGAATTCCTATGTATTGCAACAAGAAAAAAAAAAATATTTGCGAGAGATAAGGAGAGAGATTTCAAAGAGGATGCACTAAGAACTTCCCCCATTTCGTTCTTGTGTC